GGTTAATAAATGTTTGCATCAATAATTATAAGCTTATTCTTGAATATAAATATTAAATATGTATTTTATATTATTTATAAGTAAAAACTGTACCAATATCGTTAAAAGTATATATATTAAACTAAAATTTGACAAATAAAGTACTTTTCGCGATATCAAATTTTGATAAATCTATAATATATATATATATATATATATAGTACAATTTCTCTTTAGATTAAATATTACCATCTTACCTGTTGATTGTTTAATTAAAAAAATAAGCTCGTATAAAATTTCATAGATTGCACTCGTAGAATAATACTGTCGATAAATTTGAGCCGACCGAGAACGCCCAGTAAATAATTATATGAGAATATAATATAATAATAGAATGAATGTATAGAAAATATAATAAATTAAATTTACGTTTTTTTTTTTTTTTTTTTTTTTTTTTTTTATGAAAATGTATTTTAATTCGATATAACTTAGGAAGCGTTTTATAAAAACAATTAAATATCTCGTGTTTGTATATTAAGTTTTTGAAGAGTATTATTAACGTTTTTGATGGATTAAGCAATTATTCTCTAAGTATTTATAATTACGTGCTTTTCCATTTGGGCGCCAACAATTTATTCCACGATTGCTACTAAATTATTAAAATTTAATATTTCATACTCATATTGTTTCGATTATTCGTTATGAAGAAAAATTTAACTTGAAACCTTATTGTGAGCCCATAATATGAGAATTATTTTTTCAACAAAAAAAAAAAAAAAAAAAAAAAAAAAAAAAAAAAATGAATTACCAATAACATTAATCAAAATAATCGGACTACCGAGCGTGTACATATCAATAATGCAAGATGTCAGCGAGAGTAAGAATGAAAGAAGACTCGATTCAAAATGTCAAGATGAATCAGAAGAGAGACTAGATTTTCGTTAGACATAACCAAAATGTCCGATTAATTGAAGCCCATATATTCAGCAATTGCACCTTACAGGACGCCGCATAACTTGATGATTCAGTCTAGAAAAATGTCGACGCTTTAATTTGATTTTAACGAGTGTTCATGCGGAAAGCCATGCTTATTTGCATGCGTGATCGCGCCTAATGACGGCGCCAATTTTTCCTTCATTAGTGCGCGAGCATTTTTCCCGTATTTCCCCACTTCACTCGGAACTTCGGAATTCGACGGCTCGTTTAATGGGCCAATAAATAACGATTAATCATGCAACTATTTTTAAAAGAGTATCCGGATTCTCGGCTCTCGGAAAATACTTCTTTTATGTAATATTTCCGCGCGATTACTAAACCGTACACTTGCCAGCATTCAGCCTCATCAATATTATATTATATTATCGTAATTAGCAAATCACGGCTTTAAAGATAAGCGCTAATATACTCAATAATTTGAGAATATGTATGTGTACATTATTGCTTTTTAAGATATCCTGAAATTCGGGTCAGAAAGAATTTTCAGGCTGTTTCATGGACAACGGTTTGTTATTTCTCAAGTTTTACCATTATTTCGAGAATATACTGCAGAATTGAGATAGAAGCATCGGACGCATTTTATTAAAATGGAAAATTCAGCTACATTCGATGCATTACTCATCCGTTGTTATCGCTCTCTAAAGATACTTGGTAATTCCACGTGAATATAGTTCGGTATTTCATCAGCTTAAAATTCAGGAATTAAATAATTAATCGATAGTAGTATTGAAAAGACAAAATTAGTGGAGCGCGCGTACCTTTCAATTTCAATGTTGTAATCAAAATATGAAAAAAATTTATTTTAGTTTTAAATGAGCGAATGTAGAAATACAGTAATAAATAATATCAATGCCAATGTTATATTTTTAGTATCTATATTATTTATTCAGTTATATTCATCTTCGTTATTTTTATCGTTCCTATGCTAATTCTTTCATTCTTCTAATATTCCTTATTATTATGTGCAACGTGTGAAAACATTCGATTCTTTAAGCCGCTGAAAAAAAAAGAAAAAAAAAGAAAAAATGTAATATGATTATAAGATGACTCTCATTTTATGAAGTGACTGAACATTTATATATTATATTACTACCTCCAGTTATTTACGAATATATCGAATTATATAAATGTACTGCCTAAAAATTATTTCTGTTTCGAGGTAAATAAGTGCTTAACGAATTTATTTTCCTAAACTTATGAAATTTATAACTTGTGCTATTATTTAGACTTTAGTGATTGAGTTCTGCTAGTAGTAGTGGTAGTAGTGGTAGTAGTAGTAGTAGTAGTAGTAGTAGTAGTAGTAGTAGTAGTAGTAGTAATCTGATACATTACAATAAAAGGAAATAAGAATAAAAATTCAAAGTCGTTCCATTAAATAAAATATACCGCATTATTTTATGAAAACAAAAAATAATAATAAAATAAAAAAGAAAAAGAAAAAATTGAGTAATCACTGTACTAAAAACAAATTCATATTTTTTTTCAATTTTTTAATTATATCAAATACATCTGTAATATATATTATATATTTGCTGCTTTCTAAAATCTAAATATCAAACTTTTATTAATTTTCTTATAAAAATAATCAAATGTCAAAAAGCAGATTAATATAACTCTAATTATCCATTGATTTGAATTATAATCGATGATATTTACGAGTAAACATATTTATAATATAAAATGTTTAAAAAGAATGCTATTTATTATCTCAAACAGACTAAAACGCTATTCAAATTTAATTATAGATTGTGAAATCCTATTATCTTTCTTCCATAGATAATTACCGATTTTTTCGTTTGTACAAAAGATTGGATTTTAGTTTTGCTTTAGAAAAAAACAAGTTAATATTAAAATGAAAAGTTTTTGTAAACGTTTATAGAATTGAACTGCCTGGTTCTCAATTTTTATTGATTTCTTTAATTTTAGTATCTACGAGATGTGTTGAATTAATTTGAATATTTGTAATAATATTCACTATCAATTTTATATTTTCATTAATTAAATATGAATTTATAAGACTTTGCATTCAATAATATTGCGTGTGTCTATACACACAGAGCCATGCGAGTGAGCGCGCGCGCGCGCGCGAGAGAGAGAGAGAGAGAGCACAAACACATACTTATATTAAATTTTATTCCTGCCATTGTAATAAATAATGAAAAACAAAAAAAAACAACAAAAGTTTATAAACTACATTATATTTACTTAATACTATTCGCCTTTATGCTGGGAATGCTTATATTAGGATATTATGAGACAGGTAGTCAGCCTTCCAGAAGTATCAAATTATATTAGTAGAATAAAAATACAAAATGCTACATTTTCCTTTGTTTTCTAAACTCGGAATGCCCAATGCATTATATGATATTTCTATTGTGCAGTATATTTTCAGGATTTCATTCGAATTCGCTTGTTATCAAGCAACACATAAGAACAAATTCAACCGAACACTGAATTCAGATACCAGGGAGTGAGTGTCGTATTTATTTAACACCCTTCGATGACGATTCTCCTCCATTCGACGACAATGAGGCATCGGTATTTTTAACAGAGCTGCTGCATTTGAGAAAAGAGCGTGGTTAAGGGCCGTAAAAGGTAGTAGTAGTAGTAGTAGTAGTAGTAGTAGTAGTAGTAGTAGTAGTATTAGTATTAGTAGTAGTTGTTGTTATTGTTGTTGTGGCAGTATTAGTGGCGGTAGTAGTAATAATAGTAGTAGGAGTAGTAAGTACCTTTAGGAAAACAAAGAATGTAGGAAGAAAGTCAGGAAGGAAAAAGGAATGGGAAAGGGAAGGAAGAAAAGAAGAAAAATAAAATTGAATTTGATGTTAGGAAAGGCAGCAACAGCAGCAGCAGCAGCAGCAGCAGCGCGCACATGTGGCATTCATTAAAACGCTCGACTCGTGCTCTATAACTGCGACGGTACAGCTTTCACCTACGTTGGCCAGAGATATCGTTAAAACCACGAACGCCAGCACCCATCTAGTCTAAAATATCGCGTACAGCAATCCAACGAATAATCTCATGTAAATGCATGTACGCGTAGCCGTGAGGAGAGATGAATGAGAGGTAAAGAAACAAAGCAAAAAAGAAAAAGAAAAGGATGAAAAGCCAGGTTATACGGGGCAAGCGGATTCTCGGCGGTTCATCATTCAATTAATTGCGCGGCATTTGGAAGTGTTCGGTCTTTGGCTCGTAAATGCGCCGTCGTGCGCCTACCCTAATTATTGGCTCCTAAGCGGTACTTTTACTAATTTGCGAGTCGCGATGAAGAGTAAACCGTAATAAGCGACTGGCTTAAAAGCCTCTTGAGGTAATGACGCGGCTGGGCGGACAGAAACGTCAGAGGCTGCGATTCGTCGAAAAGGACACCTGGGTGACCTCCGCGATCCCCGAGTTGCGAATTCCTGGGCGTCGTCGACCCATCGGGCCGCCGATCACCGCACCGAACAGCGGGAGGCCGCGCGCTTGGCGTCACCGTCGGCTGCGCGCGCAAGGGTGGCGGCGGCGATCGTCCAACATGGCGTCCGTCTCGCATTCCCCGTGCTCGGGGTGTGGCGATGGCCATTGCGCACGCGCGGTGCCCGCGAGCGTACTCGCTCGACCCCTTCCCCCGCCCCGCCCCGCCCCGCCCGAACACGCTCGCGCAAACTATTTCGTTCTCTCTCGCTCACTAGCTCGATCTCTCTCATTTGGTCTCTCACTTGCTCTCGGGACTCGGATCGCTCGGTCCCCGACGAGGCGACGCGCCGTAACGACGGTGACGGCGGCTACGAAAACGACGGCGTCGACGAGGGAGGGGTGACCGGCCGGCGGCACGGCGCGTTACTGGCCGATCACTCAGTCAGTGTCGTCTGGAATTCCGGTTGAGACGATTGTCTAGGTCAGGCCAACGATTCTACCGCCACCGCCACCGCCACCGCCACCGCCGCCGCCGCCGCCGCCGCCGCCGCTGCTGCCGCCGCCGCCGCCGCCGCTGCTGCCGCCGCCGCTATCGCCGCCTTCGCTGCCTTCGCTGCCTGTTCCCTAGTTCGATCGCGGCCCTTAATCCTGCACGCACGTACGCGCGTAATAAAAGAGGCCGACGGAGAAGAAGATCAACAGCAGCAGTCGAGGAGGAGTCACGATACAGATTGAAAGAGAGAGAGAGAGAGAGAGAGAGAGAGAGAGAGCCCGTTAATAAAAAGAGCCGCAAGGATGACGATGGCAACGGAGACGGAGAACAACGGGCCGACGGTCGAGACGAAGGACATTAAGGATCTGAAGGAGATGAAGGACGCGCTTAAGGACGAGATGCCGCCGGACAATAAGCAGGACGAGGCGACGAAGGAGTCCTCGAACGAAAAGAAGGAGGAGGCCGAGAAGAAGTCGGAGGATGGAGCGAACGACGCGACCGCTGCCGCAGCTGGGGGCGACGCCTCCAACGCCGCAGCGGCGTCTGCCGCCACCGCTGCCGCCGCCGCCGCACCAGTCAAGGCGCCCGGCGTCCACAAGCCTAACTTCGAGAAAGACGTCGTCTACCTTTATCAGTTCCCGAGGACGCCGCTTCTACCCAGCCTCTCCTCCTACTGCCTCAAGGTCGAAACCTGGCTCAGGCTCAACGGCATTAAATACGAGGTTAGTCTAGTCTGGCGCGTCTTTTCAACTTTCTTCCACCCGTCCCCGTCGCGCCGTCGTCAAGCCTCGGAATTCGACGATGGCTCGTCGCTTACGAGCTTGCAATTGTCGTTTGCCATTGTTTACCAGCGGCAACCTACTGTGCTCGTCAGTTCGCTCAATGGAACTTGACGACCACGCGTTTATAATTTTACATGGCGATAAAGAGCGCAGGATCGCTCTACGAGCGATTATACTTCGGCTCCTCGTAAATTTAAAGCGCGAGGGTGGGGAGGGAGCCGAGATTTTACGAGGCCCGATTCGCTCGGAATTTGCGAAAAACCGGAGCCCGCCCCGATCGATTCCGCGAAATATTTATACGAGTTCTGCGCGCACGCATAAAGGAGAGGAGGCTGGAATATTTCCGAGAACAGCGGCCACGATAGACGGACTCGTGAGTGAGTCTGTCCCGGGTTACCGGGGGACCTTAGAGAAAATGGCGCGAGGGCGGTACATTTAAATTGCACCGGGAATAATGATTGCACTTACTACTTACTACCTGGGCTTAGGCGCTTTCGGCAATGGAGCGGCAACGTCGCAAAAGGGGGGGGGGGGGGGGGGGGGGGGGGGGAGGCGGCGGCGGCGGTGTGACGGCGGGGGCGAAGAGGGGTCCCCCTCTCGTCTTGGGCCCACGGGATTTTTCCTTTTTTCCTTTCTCTGGGAGTTCACGCTCTTTGGGCGGGCGATATGCCATTTTTTTTTTTTCATCTCTTTTTCCTTCGAGTGGATTTCGACAGACAGGGAGTAGCGGGTCATGTAAAGATGCTTTTCATGTTTGACTTATTTTTAATAAAGGAACCGCAGCCGCCGCCGTCACTGTCCCTGTCGCCCTCACCGTCCCTGTCGCCCTCACCGTCGCCGTCGCCGTCGCCGTCGCCGTCGCCGTCGCCACGTTAATGTATCGATGTCCACTAGTGTTAACCTCTCCCCCTATGCTTGGCAAATTTACCTAATCAACGTCCCGCCTTCTTTGTTTCGTCCTTATTTAAATGTTTAGGCGCGAAAGCTTATTATTAATATATAATGTAGGCACATTTAATTGAAGGAAAACCAAAAAAAAAGAAAGAAAAAAGTTCAATGGTAAATAGTAACAACGACCTGTCAGTGCGAGGAATCTTATGCAAAGCATGAAAACTTCTATAAAAAAAAAAATTATACATTGGCCATGTTGAATAAAAGAGAGATAAATTTTTCACTGCAAATTATTTTAAAAATATCCGGTGTTTTTTTGTTTTTTTTTTTTTTTTTTGTTTGTTTGTTTGTTTGTTTTGCTTTCGCTTCCACTCGTTAAAGAGATACAATAATTTTTGGATAGTCTCTATGAAAGTAAACAGAGAATGATGAGTATATTGGAACAAAGCAAAAAGTGCGGCATCCCGTTTATGTCTAATTCAATTTATATTTATAACTTTTTCACTTGGCACGTTGATAATTAATGCTGTGAAAAATTTCTTTCTTCAACGATAAATGCAAATGCGATAGCCTCGTCGCATTTATTTTAATTAAAAACTATCAAAACATTTAATACATACCGCGAACTACATTTGTTTACCTTATTCGTTCGTCAATTATTTATTTAACATGATTTTTAGTTATCGATGAATTCTTATTAGATATTTTATAACTTGATAATACATTATTCATTAATGTTTGTCTATTCATTTCAGTCACTTTTCTTGCTCACTCTGAAAAAAGCAACGAATTTTGTGAGGAGAAGAATTTGTGATAAATGGTAATGAAAGCAAACAGAAGTCGTTTCATTTATTACAGTAGATTTTTCTGTCACTGAGAAAGTGGTTCAATGAACTTTAACGAACAACTATTGAAAACAAAAATTTGCATTAAAATATCCAGCCGACAATATTTGATCACACTATAGGCATTATATTTAAAAGTGCTTATTATTTGTCCGGGTGTAAGGACTCGTTTTTGCAAATAATTATTTCCCATTGAATCTTAGGCTTATTATTTTAAAGCATTCCCATTGGTATTTATTAAAAAGTTCTCTCTCTCTCTCTCTCTCTCTCTCTCGCTCTCGCTCTCGCTCTCGTTCTCGTTCTCGGTCTCGGTCTCGGTCTCGCTCTCCTCGCTCTCGCTCTCTGACATTTCATTCTTTTTCATTCTATCTTTTTTCTTTAACGTAATTACCAGTTCAATTTTAATTATTATTTAACTTTACGCGTGCTTAAAATTTTTAATATTCAACATTTTATAAAATATTGTTTCTCATGTCTGCAGGTTATTTATAACTTAATTTCATTTTCTTTGCATCTGCATTACACTCATTCGTTTTCGCTGTCTTTTATTCCCTTGCACAATTACTTTCGTATTTCGTAAATTTGTCCTTATCCGCTCTTTTCCCAACTACATTCGTTTGTTCTACAATTTTGCCTGCTATTAAAGATAATCATATGCATGGAAGTTATATTTATTATTCTTCAAATCTTCTGTTCTAGGTCTCTTTGAAAATTTTAATTTTCAAGGCATTTTTCAATGTTGATATTTAATGAATTATATTTAAAGGGAATTTTTCATTAATGTTAAAGATCAATTTTATTCTTATAAAAGTTTAAAAAAAAAAAAAAAAAAAAAAAATGTATTTCTATTAATGGCATACTTTCTACTTGCACGCTATTTATTGCCTCCCGCTCCTTTCCTCTGAGTCACCCTTTCCGTCTCTTCTTTATTATATGGCGTACGATACTTCTTGTTCGTGCTTTATTTAAGCAAATGCAATTTCATTCTTTTTTTTCCTCACCCCATATTATTTACTGTTTTTAAAATTATTTTTCACAATTTCGCTTTCATCGTCTATGCATAATACTTTATTTTTATGCAAATCCATTACTCTACAATCATCCCACTTTCATTGTTGTTCAATTACTTACCTCGACCGAAATTTTCGATAAATATAACTCATCGCATTCACAATAGGATTTCTGAAAATGAGAATAGTACACTCACCTAGATGATGACTATAATGACACATACAAGATACAGCTTCCAATACAGTATTCGTAGGCCTCTGTCTGTGTTTGTTTATTTGTTTGTTTGTTTGTTTGTGTGTGTGTGTGTGTGTGTGCGCGCGCGCGTGTGTAAGACACAGGCAGGTTTCTTGCAAGAAATTATTAAAATATGTATATACGTAGCTTATAGAACATTCAACCATCGTAAACATAAAATTATTAAGTCAATTGAACGATGATAGAGAATTACGCAGACTAATCTAAATATAAATATATTCTAAAAGGATAGAGCCTGCTGAAAATGAATATTAAATTGAAGACCTATAAATGTACTTTGTACGCTTAAAAACACGTCGCATTAAATTGAGTTCTGCGCTTGTATAAATGAATAAAATATTTTAAAGCCAGAGATATCGGCACAACGAACTACACCTTCGTCCTAATATCGATTTGGCATAACATCGGGCATTATTTTGTTCCCGAGTGTATATTGTTTTCCAACGAGCGACTCAAATAGACTATTGTCAGAGGTCCATGTGTTATGCCTGAACAGTCGCGACTTTATCGTTTAAAAGCCGTGTAAATATTTTTGCGAAAAAGAAGGTGGTGGTGAGCAATGCTCGCCAATCCTTAAGGTCCATGACATAAATTCACTTGAGATTTGTGTGTAGACACATGGGTGTGAAATAGGTACACTTGCCTTGAAAATTTCACGTTGCGGTTGTACACGGCGCAACCTTAACATCGCTTCCCTGCGCGTGTGCGTGTGTGAGAGACAGACAGACAGAGAGAGAGAGAGAGAGAGAGAGAGAGAGAGAGAGAGAGAGAAAGAAGTGGGGGTGCGAGAGTGCGTGTGCGAGTACAGCACCCCTCCTCCTGTGCTTTAAAGAGAATTAGATGGCTGGTTGGAAAAAGGTACCAAGCTGACAAGCGTCGATGGACTACTCCTATGCTTTGGGATCCATGAGCTTCCCGCTCTTTTTCTTTTTCTTTTTTTGCCTTTCGTTATGAGAGTGAACACGGGGTCCTTTTCCGCACAACGAACAGCTTGGTTTTCCTGGTGCGAGGTGCATTCTCAGTGCAGAACAAAGACTCTTGGGAGTATATTATCGATCCATGGCGAGCGTCGCTATATCGCTTTGCTCTTATTCTTATTGCCAAAGCACACGGAAACTTTTTTCTCTCGATTTTATCGTGATGCGTGCACGAGCTTCGACAGAAAATGCTCAAGCTGACGTTGAAAATGTTATGTCTTATCCGTGTATTTTATGCGAGGTATTAATAAATGGTGCTGATAAATTGGATTATGAGCATCGCGTATACTGAATCATGGAATTTTTAAATTGTGAAAAAATGAAAGAAAACGAAGAATGGAATTCGAGTATGACAGACAGTGTAACAGAAGAAATTTTGTTAATAAAGTTAAACCATCATGATATCTCAATTGCCTCGTTAATTACGCTCATCATCATTGTGAAAAAATATTATTTCACCGTAATAACTTCGCATTGCACACAATTGCTACAGTGTCTACTTTATAACTGAATACAAAGTCTTAGATGAACTATTTGTTTAGAAACCAGTGGCTTTCAACTATTAACATCCGCTAAAATAAATATCTCATAAACTCCCTTGATTATTAAATTCATAAAATGTTGTCGTTCGCTAATTCGCGATTAATAATATCAATATAATAAGCGTGAAAACTGCAAAATGAACAAAGGCAATTTATTCACTGGGTGACTAACCGGAAATAGAGCTTCGCTGGCTTAAGCTGCCACCCCTTATATTTTACCTAAACAGACATAACCGTGCATTAACGAGAGTGGAACAGCCGATTACGTTGTAAGGCATTGACGAAGACCGTAAAGTGCGGAAGCCCCGCTCTTGAAAAATTTTTTTTCTTTCCTCGCCTAACCCAACGACAAAAGCATCGTTGCGGAAATTTTCCGAGCCGGGAGAAAAAAGCAGGTCGATCGAAGATCCTTTTGTGAG